AGCTGCAGTCTCGGCATTGGGCTACTTGTGACGCCAACTTGGAGTCGGAATTCGAGGTACACTTTCAGGATGAACGAATTTACGCGGTGCTATACTTTTTGCTGTCCGTTCTGCAGCTCCAAATTCTGGCTGGCTGGAAGTTTTTGCAGCGCAGGGCACCGGTCCAACCGGGAGTGGTTGCAGCGGTCGATTATACTAACATCCCGGATGTGTACGCAAGGCTTTGCAAAGCCAATGATTTGCTGAAAGACATGCCTCCCGTGGTTATTGCGTGCTATCTGTTGAAGCGGCGTCTCAGCCGTTGTCAAATGAGGGCCTGTTCAGCTGTCTTGACCCCCCCCCCCAAAAAAAATGGAAAGGAGAAGAAAAGGCGAAAAGAGAGAAATGGCTGGGCTTCCTTGCGTTTGTCTTTCTAAAGCCATCCAAAAAGCAGTACCCCCAAAACAGACACACCTCAATAACGTTGCCTAAAACCTGGGAAGCCACAGCCAGTTCCCGCCCCCCGGATTTGATCCCCTGACTTCCCCAAAAAGAGACCAGGCGTCCGAAAGAAGCCCAAGGTCTCTTCTTCCAGGTGCTTAAGAGGAACAGGACTTTCCCGTGTTGGTTTTTAAGGGAACCTACTACTGGTAATATTTGGAATTTCCTTGGGGGACCCGAGCAAATGGAGGTGTTGGTCGCAAATGGAAGTGTTTTTCTTGGTTTCCGGGCGTGAAGTCCGTCCGCTGATTTCGAGACGTTTTTTGGTTTGGAAATGGCCAAGTTCCCACCCCCTGTACAGTCTTCAGGCATGACACTCATTTAGGTTTAATGCACTAGTCGACGCAAAAGTTTCCCTCAAGCATTCAACCCTGCCTTCTTCAATTTGCTTTAGAATGCAGTATGTGTTGATGTCGCTTTGGTTGTGACAAGAATGTATCACACACTGCTTTCCTAATTTGACTTCCCGGAGAAATCCTGGAGGCCTTTTGTTGGCCTATGCATAGGGCACGGCCTTTTCAAGAACCGCAACTGGGCTTAAAGACGGTTTGGATTCGCTTTTTGTGGATTTCACCGATTTGTTCTTCCGATTTGTCTTCCCCCTATAGGCGCTACAGGTCATTTGTTTCTGGTCTTTTAGTTCTCTTTTAACATCCAGGGGTGGTTCCACAGATTCGCCACAAAACCAAAACCGTTTCTTCACTGTTCTTGGCATGTTTTTTGGTTTTTTAGTGTTTTGGTTCTGTTCATTTTTACTGGGGGTCTGCAAACAGCAAAGTTTTTCGCTACCATACCAAGAGTAGAGATGGTTTTCTAGAGATTTTTCGGGGGCCCTGAGCAAGGCTCTACTTGTCGGTGAACCGCATCGCCGAGCTGTCGGAGCTGGCGGGGGCCCAAGCGGGCAGACCGCACACCAGGCGTCCCTACATCTTGTTGGTTCGATGGGCAGGGAATGAGTTGGAATGACCCCAAGATACACCATCCAACTGGTGGTTTTCTTGGGAATCATCTTGGCGCCAACATTTTGTTTATCAACTGCTGCTTCAGAGCTGGATTTTTTCCCCGAGATTTTTACCATCCAGCTGTGTGGTTTCCTTATCGGAATCCCTAACTTCATTTTCAACACCGGTCCTTCCCTACTGACCAGCAAGTGTAAGGATGAAACACGTCAGTTGTTCGTGTCACTTAAAAAATATACCCACTCGGGAGGGGAAGTAGAATGACCCCGTGTGGTTCAGCCTTCAAGTGATGGATGGACGAAGACATGGAAACCCCAGCGGGGAAACCAAGGAATGATACCATCCACCACATGTGATACACTCCCAGGAAACCCACCCCACCTAGGAAACCCACATGTGATGCAATCCTGCACCGCCTCAGAAGCCCTGGTGTCTGATGATGCCCCTGTACCTACGATCAATAATTTCATCATGGTTTCCAAGAGGTGCGAACGGATTTTGTCCATCCACAGTATGTTATTGGAAAGTGAACCCCCTACTCCAAATACCCACTTTGTTCAGGGCATTTTTTGGAAAACCTGGGTTTCCATGGTAAATACCTCCTTTTTTAGTAGAGGGTCGACCTCATACCCTGAAAAAGGCGGGGTATTTGGAGTGGGGAAGTGAATGTCCACGCAAACAGACTGCCGCGGCTTGGGAAGTGAGAAAAGCGGAAAGCTGAACCGCCACAGTCGGGTCGCTCGTCTTGTTTTTAGAGACAGCCCCTCGGTGGCCTTTTATTGGAAAGCCAAGAGGAAACCGGCCATTGTGTCATTTTTGGTAGGCCTTACAAAAAAGACACACCATATCCTTAGACTTTAAGGTTTTGATATGTTGGCGGGATTCATACGGATTTATGACATCTACAAGTCAAACCACAGCAACGGATTGACTATCTTATGCTTTGCTGATGCTTTGCTGTTAGGACAGCACGTTCTCAGGTACAACACGGATCCGCCGTCACTAGCGAGTCTGTGTTTTTTGTGCGTCTATTCAGGGTTCTGCTGCATATCGTTTTTGGGGCCCTTTCAGTTGTGTTCCAAGGAAAGAACCACGCGCCCTCTTAAAAACACATGTGTGGATGTACGTCGGGCGGTAGCTAGGGGAAAATGGGGCTGGTTCCCTGTCTGACTAAGTTGTAAAATGGAGGACCCGGACAAAATGGTGGGCTTCCTCGTGTTTCCCTTTCAAACCGCGCCGAAACAGGGAAACTCGGGTACCGCCAAAATCACAATGCCCAAGAACCAGGTTATCTAAGTGAGACGCCTGTGAGGCAGAGCCTCGACCCTAGATGCCCATGCGTTCGGTCAATGACAACCAAATAACATGGGCTCAACATAACTAGGTCCCCCACTAGTGCCCTTTTACCAACTTTTTTGGGGCAGGGTCCCCCTTCTAAAATCGACTACAGAAAAAAGGGTACCCTTATTCCAGCCTCTCTACTGGAGGACCTAGGCAATTAACATGGGCCCAACATAAGCCAAACTGTGGCTGCGGAAGCAAAAGCAACCAACATATGACCGCGGAAGCTCGTGCAAACACGCAGAAGACTTAGGTCGAACGGAATATTCAGCACGCCCCCATATCAAACACGAGATATTTTGTGCAAAGCCCATTGGATTGACATGACTCACTCACGTTCCCCACAAACACCCAGGAACTCACTCCTGTGTCGCGTAGGGGAAACGAGTAATTTGGACCTAGCCTTTGCATGCCTCACCTGCGGTGAAGTCCCAAAGTGATTGATTCCCATTTGTTTTTACGTGTGGGGGAGATCATTTTTGAGGATGGGCCCCCTTCTGGAACGAGTTTCAACATGAATCATGTTTTGAGGGTTCTTGAACTGTTGGAACACCCCCTGTTCCTTTTCGTGTGTCCCAAGATCCAAGGGATAACTCACGTAGATTTGGGTGTCATGGAAAAATGATCCAGTGGAAAGAGATGGCCTGATGGTTGGTAGATGGTCCTTAGGATACAGGGAATTACCGAAAGACAGTCAATCCTTTGGGCAAGACACCCGCGAAAGTTGGTAGAGCAGTGCAAGACACCCGCCTTTGGTCATAGGTCCCACCTGGCCAGTTGCCGTGTGTTTGCCGGGCTTTTGGCGGATTTTCCAAGTGAAACCAAGCGCGAAATCAAGAAGGAGCCTTCTTTTGCGGGTCCTTGGAAGAAAGGGTATGACTATTTTGTTTCACTGAGTTGCATACTGGGCTGTTCAAAGGCAATCGAGTTCCAACTCACCTCTTTGAGGTTGGACTTGGGTACATTTGGCCAAATGCCATGTTGACCAGGGTTTCAGCAATGTATCAGGTTATTTTTTAGGTTTATCCTTAAGCTGGGCTGTTCAAAGGCAATCCTGAAACCTTACCTTGGGTTACAAAAGGGGTCCCCTTTGTAGTGGTTGTACAATAGGGATTCCAACTGAATTGAACAACACCCACATAAACAAACACATGACGATGTTTTGCCGGTCAAAAGGCCGTATGACCAAACAAAAAAGAGGTCGTATGGTGTCCCAGGGTGGTTATTCTATCTGTGGTCGGGATCGTCCTGCTCGTCCAAGCCTTATACGCATGGAACCAACGGTCGAAGGCTTTGGAAAGCGAAGGACCGGTTGCGGCACTTGCGACATCTGCTGGTGGTGCACATGGCGCAAAACCCCGCCTGGAACGCAGTCGGGGGTGTGGGGATTGCTTGTCACTGCCTTCACGGGTCGGGAGTGGCTCCTGGGCCCCTGAAGCCGGCAACAAGTGAGCGGTGCTTTCTCAAAGATATGATTGTTCAGGGCGTCCAAGTCACCTCAGAAAGTTAGAGAGGTTCATCGGTTGATGCCCCAATTCTTTTCACCCGTCGTTTTCATAAGTATGGCGTTCTTTTGAAAGGGGTGTGGCCGGAATACTAGGGCAAGTGCAGCTTGTGATTGTCAAGGATGACCGAAAAGTGCTCAAGGGACTCCGTTTTCAAGGATTGGGTCGGCAAGGATTGGATTGCCGGAAAGCGAATTGACCTTTTGGTTTCCCCTTTGAGGTATGGCCCCAAAGGTGATCACCTTCCATTCGTGGGTCCCAGCTGAGCATGTTTTGACCCTTTTGTGGCGCCTACTCAGAAGGCACCAAGGGATCCTTTAAGCTAGGAAATAACTTGCTGGTGTGACGGGTCGGAGATGACCGAGACCGGGTGTTGGGGATGAAACGGACAGGAATGCCCTCATCCCCACCGACCGGGGTACCCCTAAAATTCCATTTACGGTTCCGTTTTCGCGTTTGCGGGGAAGACCGGATAAGGGGACCCCCACCCCCCTATCCCTGAAGGCAGACGAAGATATGTCCTCAAAGGAGACCATCGGAATTGTTTTTTTTTCGGGGTCATTCATTCCCTGCTGAACCAGCAAGAGAAGGTGCCAAGAAGCACGCAATCCGCCTAGATTTTTTCCCCCTCAAGCTGCTACAAGATCCTATTCGGCCCTGGGCAGTAGCGAACTGCTTTCCTGGTTTCCGACCCTGAAATGGTCACCCCAAGAAAGGTTTCCCCTAGGGTCCCACTCAAAGAATGGCCTTGAGACCCAATTCGGATGATGACAAGCCTATTTTTTGGAAACAGTGGAGCTGCGTTCGCATAGGTTTGCCTAGCCTGGAAGTTCGCGAGTCGTCTGACCTCTGTTTCGCATATCGCCGGCTCGGTTCGCAAGCTTCGGCTTTTCTCGTAAATTGTAGATGTGCCGTCGCATTTTTTTCGCTCACCTTGGGTTTGCAAGCGTCAGAGCCTTTTTGGGGTTCGAACATGTTTGCCTAAAACATTCTAGTCTACCCACAGTCTACCGACCACCTCAGGTTTGCCGTCAATGGTGGTGAAGTCTGAACCCAATCCTTGTTGGAACTGTGGCCAGCCTGAACCCAAGGGTTTGCTTGTTCAGCCCCACAAACTGCCAAAGAAACCAACAAAAAGCGGCGGCTTTCCTCTTAATTGTCCTTTAAAACCAACCAAGCCTAAAAAAAACACATCCAAATCTTTGAACCCAACCAAACCTTCAAAACTAGCCAAACCTTTAAACCCAACCAAACCTTTAAACCCAACTAAACCTTCAAGACTAACCAAACCTTTAAAACCAACCAAACCTTTTAAGCCCAACCAAACCTTTAAAACCAACCAAACCTTCAAACCCAATCAACCTGTAAACCCAACACCAACCAAACCTTCAGAACCAACCAAACCAACACCAACAAAACAAAACCTTCAACACCAGCCAAAACTTAAAACCCAACCAATGCTGAAAAACCAACCAAACCTTTAAACCCAATCAACCTTTAAACCCAACCAAACCTTTAACACCAACCAAACCAACACCAACAAAACAAAACCTTCAACACCAGCCAAAACGTAAATTCCAACCAAACCTGAAAAACCAACCAAACCTTTAAACCCAATCAACCTTTAAACCCAACCAAACCTTTAACACCAACCAAACCTTCAGAACCAACCAAACCAACACCAACAAAACAAAACCTTCAACACCAGCCAACACTTAAAACCCAACCAAACCTGAAAAAAACAACCAAACCTTTAAACCCAACCAATCATGTAAAACCAACCAAACCTTTAACACCAACCAAACCTTTAAACCCAATCAACCTTTAAACCCAACCAAACCTTTAACACCCACCAAACCAACACCAACAAAACAAAACCTTCAACACCAGGCAAAACTTAAAACCCAACCAAACCTGAAAAAACCAACCAAACCTGAAAAAACCAACCAAACCTTTGAAACCAACCAAACCTTTAAACCCAATCAACCGTTAAACCCAACCAAACCTTTAACACCAACCAAACCTTCAGAACCAACCAAACCAACACCAACAAAACAAAACCTTCAACACCAGCCAAGACTTAAAACCCAACCAAACCTGACAAACCAACCAAACCTTTAAACCCAACCAAACCTTGAAAACCAACCAAACCTTTAAACCCAATCAACCTTTAAACCGCAACCAAACCTTAAAGACCAACCAAACCGTCAGAACCAACCAAACCAACACCAACAAAACAAAACCTTCAACACCAGCCAACACTTAAAAACCCAACCAAACCTGAAAAACCAACCAAACCTTTAAACCCAACCAAACCTTTAAAACCAACCAAACCTTTAAACCCAATCAACCCTTAAATCCAACCAAACCTTTAACACCAACCAAACCTTCAGAACCAACCAAACCAACACCAACAAATCCAAACCTTCAACACCAGCCAAAACTTAAAACCCAACCAAACCTGAAACACCAACCAAACCTTTAAACCCAACCAAACCGTTAAAACCAACCAAACCTTTAAAACCAACCAAACCTTTAACACCAACCAAACCAACACCAACAAAACAAAACCTTCAACACCAGCCAAAACTTAAAACCCAACCAAACCTGAAAAACCTCCCAAACCTTTAAACCTAATCAACCTTTAAACCCAACCAAACCTACAGAACCAACCAAACCAACACCAACAACACAAAACCTTCAACACCAGCCAAGACTTAAAACCCAACCAAACCTGACAAACCAACCAAACCTTTAAACCCAACCAAACCTTGAACACCAAGCAAACCTTTAAAACCAACCAAACCTTTAAACCCAACCAACCTTCAAACCCAACCAAACCTTTAACACCAACCAAACCAACACCAACAAAACAAAACCTTCAACACCAGCCAGACCTTTAAACCCAACAAACCTGAAAAACCAACCAAACCTTTAAACCCAACCAAACCCTCAAAACCAACCAAACCTTTCAAACCAACCAAACCTTTAAACCCAATCACATTTTTAAACCCAACCAAACCTTTAACACCAACCAAACCTTCAGAACCAACCAAACCAACACCAACAAAACCAAACCTTCAACACCAGCCAAAACTGAAAACCCTATCAAACCTGAAAAACCAACCAAACCTTAAAACCCAAGCAAACCTTTAAAACCAACCAAACCTTTAAACCCAATCAACCTTTAAACCCAACCAAACCTTTAACACCAACCAAACCCTTAACACCAACCAAACCTTCACCAACAAAACAGAACCTTCAACACCAGCCAAAACTTAAAACCCAACCAAACCTGAAAAACCAACCAAACCTTTAAACCCAACCAAACCTTTAAAACCAACCAAACCTTTAAAACCAACCAAACCTTCAAACCCAATCAACCTTTAAACCCAACCAAAGCTTCAGAACCAACCAAACCAACACCAACAAAACAAAACCTTCAACACCAGGCAAAACTTAAAACCCAACAAACCTGAAAAACCAACCAAACCTTTAAACCCAACCAAACCTTTAAAACCAACCAAACCTTTAAAACCAACCAAGCCTTTAAACCCAACCAACCTTTAAACCCAACCAAACCTTTAACACCAACCAAACCAACACCAACAAAACAAAACCTTCAACACCAGCCAAAACTTAAAACCCAACCAAACCTGAAAAACCAACCAAACCTTTAAACCCAACCAAACCTTTAAAACCAACCAAACCTTTAAAACCAACCAAACCTTCAAACCCAATCAACCTTTAAACCCAACCAAACCTTCAGAACCAACCAAACCAACACCAACAAAACCAAACCTTCAACACCAGCCAAAACTGAAAACCCAATCAAACCTGAAAAACCAACCAAACCTTAAAACCCAACCAAACCTTTAAAACCAACCAAACCTTTAAACCCAATCAACCGTTAAACCCAACCAAACCTTTAACACCAACCGAACCTTTAACACCAACCAAACCTTCACCAACAAAACAAAACCTTCAACACCAGCCAACACTTAAAAATCCAACCAAACCTGAAAAAAACCAACCAAACCTTTACACCCAACCAAACCTTTAAACCCAATCAACCCTTAAATCCAACCAAACCTTTAACACCAACCAAACCTTCAGAACCAACCAAACCAACACCAACAAATCCAAACCTTCAACACCAGCCAAAACTTAAAACCCAACCAAACCTGACAAACCAACCAAACCTTTAAACCCAACCAAACTGTTAAAACAAACCAAACCTTTAAGACCAACCAAACGTTTAAACCCAACCACACCTTTAACACCAACCAAACCAACACCAACAAGCCAAAACTTAAATCCCAACCAAACCTGAAAAACCAACCAAACCTTTAAACCGAACCAAACCTTGAACACCAACAAAACCTTTAAAACCAACCAAACCTTTAAACCCAACCAACCTTCAAACCCAACCAAGCCTTTAACACCAACCAAACCAACAACAAAACAAAACCTTCAACACCAGCCAAACCTTTAAACCCAACAAACCTGAAAAACCAAACCTTTAAACCCAACCAAACCCTCAAAACCAACCAAACCTTTCAAACCAACCAAACCTTTAAACCCAATCACATTTTTAAACCCAACCAAACCTTTAACACCAACCAAACCTTCAGAACCAACCAAACCAACACCAACAAAACCAAACCTTCAACACCAGCCAAAACTGAAAACCCAATCAAACCTGAAAAACCAACCAAACCTTAAAACCCAACCAAACCTTTAAAACCAACCAAACCTTTAAACCCAATCAACCTTTAAACCCAACCAAACCTTTAACACCAACCAAACCTTCACCAACAAAACAGAACCTTCAACACCAGCCAAAACTTAAAACCCAACCAAACCTGGAAAACCAACCAACCAAACCTTTAAAACCAACCAAACCTTTAAAACCAACCAAACCTTTAAACCCAACCAACCTTTAAACCCAACCAAAGCTTCAGAACCAACCAAACCAACACCAACAAAACAAAACCTTCAACACCAGCCAAAACTTAATCCCAACCAAACCTGACAAACCAACCAAACCTTTAAACCCAACCAAACCTTGAAAACCAACCAAACCTTTAAAACCAACCAAACCTTTAAACCCAACCAACCTTTAAACCCAACCAAACCTTTAACACCAACCAAACCTTTAACACCAACCAAACCTTCACCAACAAAACAGAACCTTCAACACCAGCCAAAACTTAAAACCCAACCAAACCTGAAAAACCAACCAAACCTTTAAACCCAACCAAACCTTTAAAACCAACCAAACCTTTAAAACCAACCAAACCTTCAAACCCAATCAACCTTTAAACCCAACCAAAGCTTCAGAACCAACCAAACCAACACCAACAAAACAAAACCTTCAACACCAGGCAAAACTTAAAACCCAACAAACCTGAAAAACCAACCAAACCTTCGAACCCAACCAAACCTTTAAAACCAACCAAACCTTTAAAACCAACCAAGCCTTTAAACCCAACCAACCTTTAAACCCAACCAAACCTTTAACACCAACCAAACCAACACCAACAAAACAAAACCTTCAACACCAGCCAAAACTTAAAACCCAACCAAACCTGAAAAACCAACCAAACCTTTAAACCCAATCAACCTTTAAACCCAACCAAACCTTTAACACCAACCAAACCAACAACAAGACAACACCTTCAACACCAGCCAAAACTTCAAACCCAACCAAACCTTTAAAACCAACCAAACCTTTAAACCCAACCAATCCTTTAAACCCAACCAAACCTTTAAAACCAACCAAACCTTTAAACCCAACTAAACCTTCAAAACTAGCCAAACCGTTCAAACCAACCAAACCTTTAAACCCAACCAAACCTTCAAAACAAACCAAACCTTTAAACCCAACCAAACCTTTTAAACCCAACCAAACCTTCAACACCAACCAAACCTTCAGAACCAACCAAACCAACACCAACAAAACAATCCTTCAACACCAGCCAAAACTGAAAACCCAACCAAACCTGAGAAACCAACCAAACCTTTAAACCCAACCACACAACTTTTTCCCCTTGTCTACCAATTGTCTTGGCTCGCTCTCAGGTGGCGCGGAAGCCGCAGTACCGCCTCCAGCTCTTGCACTGCGTGCCCTCCGCGCGAGCGGTGGATGGCAAGGAGGCGCGGAACCGCGCTCCGAGCGCGCGAAGGAATTTTCGCCCAAGAAGGCCCACGTGCGTCACGTCATCAAATCCCGGGTAAGTGAAGGTTAAGGGCAAAACCCAGCCTGAATTAGTGGCGGAATTCCGCCTTTCTAGTTCTTTACATGGTTCTGGGTTAGTCTCATTTTTGTGCCAAGTGTTGATTATGACTCACGCCTTCCAGGTCTCAGCGAAAAGTATCGTTTAGCAGGTCTCGGCGAAAAGCAGGGTAGGAACTAAGTAATGTTGACATGTGAATTTCCAGTTGATCCACAATGAAAACCCGGGTAGATGAAGGTTAAGGGACAATCCCCTGGCCATAGCTGCGGATATCTGCCTTCTTGATTCTTGCAGCATGGCTCTGGGTAGACCATTTTAATACCGGGCTTTGATTTTGATTCACGTGTTGCAGGTCTCAGCGACAAGGGTAGGAATGAAGTAATGTCGACCCCATGTAAGTTTCAAGTTGATGAATGGGGTGGTGTTCCGTGTTCCTGGGTTTAGTTTTTGGAGGGGAGCACCAACATACTGGGATATTCTGAGGTTGATTAATATATAGGGTCAACATTATACCGAGCTCCCCAAGCAAGCGATTGTTCACCCGGCGAGAAGCTCACCGTTTTGCAAAAAGTCTCAGCGAAATGCCAAGAAAGTTCTCGGCCCATGGCACCGATGCTAGGAAGTCTTGATCAGGTGCTACTCGGCACTCCATGGAAGGCTTTGGAAGCCCTTGAACAAGGATGCCGTGTTCGTCTTGATTGCTAGTGGCTTGGATCTTTAGACTTCAACTTTTTGGAAAATAAACGGGTTTTCCACTAAACCCTCAAAAAGCTAAACTTTTTGCAGGGGGGTCAACAGCAACCAGGTAGTCTCAGGATGTCTCAGGGTTTGGATTTTTCTCCTTTTTGGTGGTTTTGCACACCTTGGCCCAAGTATGGCGAGTTGTTGTCATGGGGTGATGCTTTAAGGGGCAATGTGGGGGGACCCTGTACACTGTAATTTTTGGGGTTGGAGCATTCTAGTGGCAAACACAAAGTTTAAACTTTGCTTAGGCTATCCCAGTCCTTAATTGAGAGTGTGTCTTGATTGGTTGAGTTGGTGCCAATTTTGGTCAAAATTACTCCGCATGGTTTCTTAAAGCTTAGCGGCAAACCCAACTTTCAATCTTTCGGGGGCACGCCCATTAAGATATAATGTGTTTCAGGCAGGCGTGTCTTTGTGACTGGGTACAGGAGAGCTGCAGCTTTTTTTGGGGGTCCCTATTTTCACACTTACATTCTCAAAGGGGCCTGCAAGTTGGAATGGTTGCGCTTTCCCAATACCAACCAATACAAGGCCGTGCTCAACTTAGGAAAGGCCGATTTGCCCACTAAATGATTTTACCAGGTTTCTCTATTGCGGCCCCGAGATTTGTTTGAGAGGGGGCTCCTTTTTTAGTGAGGCCCTCATATTACCGGAGACTCAGCTTGATGCACCACGGCCATTTCCTGGGAGTCAGGTTCCCCAAGTCGCATTCGAGGCATTCCAGTCGATCCAGCCCCGTGCTGAAATACTTCAGTCCCGTATTGCTCTCTTTGGCTCGATTGCTGCATGTCACCAAGTTACCTCTGCGACAGCTTTCGAAGCAGGAGATGTCACGTGTGAAGCACGCATCCCAGAAAGACGATCAACATGTTGTCGCTTAGGCGAAAAATACGCTCGATGGCTCATGGAACATCATGGCTCATGGCTGGCGATTTCAATTGGCAGCTTGAGTCGCCTCTTTTTGAAGGAACCCTTTGTCCAGTCATCTAGTTCTTACGTCCCAAACACTGCGGCATTCAAGGAACTGCCAGCAACGTCTTGTTCATATTGCGAGAAGCCGAGCCATGAATATAAGGGGTCCAAAATGAACCGATCATTGTTTGGGAACAACTTTCAGTGGTTCAGAGAGATCTTTCTGGTTGCTTTGTCTTGACAACATCAGCCCATGGTCTTGGTGGCATTGTGGCATTTGCCCAGGAAAGTGGGACACTTTCTAGCGCCTAGAAGTTTTTGTTGGGCTCGACTTGTACGAACTCGGCGAAGTTGTTGCAAAGCCCTTGCTTTCCTCAGCAATGGAAGGCTTGTCGGACTCCTTGCTGCCGCCCGGCATCCTGGTGCTGGAACTGGGTCTTTTGCTTAAGCTCATCCAGCTGGCGGTCTCTTTTCTGCAGGCCAACTCATGGTCTTTTCGACCCATGTTGGCAAATTGGAAGCAGAAATGCCGGGAGCTGTGGAACAAATTCAATAGACAGTGCCTGGCAAAGGCTGCTTCGAATCAAAGTGAGCAGGAATTGTCGAGGATGCGCTGCACCATGTCACGTAGGGCTTGGTGGGTGGCTCTTGTGCTACACATCCCCCGGCTCCTTGCACGGCAATTTGGACTCCCGGTCCCGATCCGGGAAGAGTTTGACCTTAGCATCCTTTGGATAAGCGCCATGGGTGTAGTGATCGCGTGGTGCCCAGGGTTGATCAACTCCCGGAGCCAGGATCTCTTGTACATGATGGCAGTCTTGGGCATGGACGCTGCGATTTTGATAACCGGCTTCTCCCAGAGCCTCGACGTCAGGTACGTGATCACTTTCACCTTTCCTTTCCGCTTCGTGTATGCGGTGCTGGCGAAACGCGCGGCGTGCGTGGTCTTGTGCAACATATGCCACTTGCTTCAAGCAATCCACCTGGCAAGTGAAGCTCCAGATTCTCAAGATGCAGGGCCTGCCGATCTCTTCCCCCTATTCCTTTCGATGTTTTGCGGCATTGTGGCCGTTCGCAGTCTCCTGCTGGACAACATGCTCCTGACATTGGACGTGCAGAAGCGGAGCGTGGAGCTGGGGGCAGTCTCCTCCTTGCTGACTGTGTGCTACGATGCAGTGCTAGAGGTGGATCAAGCATTGACACTGACCCAGGATGCTTGGCGCGAGCCGTATGTGAAACGTGTTGCTTCATGTGGTGTCTTGCTCATTTTTTTTGAAGGCCCTTCAAACGGACTGCACCTTCCAAGCAATCCTTGGCATCTCAAGTCGTAGTGAAAAGTGCTGCTTCATGCCACTTCATGCTGTCCTGTTTTAGTTCTTCCGGGCCAGGCAAAACGGACCTCACCTCCAAACATGAAGCAGACCAATGCAAACCCAAGTAACCCCTAAGTGGATGTGTAGATAGGGGGCAACTATGGGCAACTGCCAGCTTGCGACTTAGGATTCGCCCCAGCTCTCCTCCATGCTACTGCGAACGCAAAGGGGAGGTTTGTCTGGGGCTAGTTTACTGGACTCCATCTGCGAGGGGGACAGGGCTCGCGTTTGGGAGCAATTTCGGAGTTCCACCGGCCAGTCGGCAGTGGCCTTGAATGCTGACATGTTGGACTCGGATTTCAATCGTGTGAAGGTTGAGCTGATATGTGTGCAGTTCGACAACCTGACAAATGACAGGCCATGGTGAATGTCTCAACCGCGAAATTGAGCGTTGCCTCTCTAGTTCATGGGGTGTTCATCAGTCTCGAACTGCCCTGCCAGGCACCTCTTGGTGGGTGTACGTGAGATGCAGGACTTGGAGCTGGGTCCGGCAGCTCCGTCACATTCATCACAGCCAACCGCCTTCACAGGGGATGAGGATTTGTTCGTGGTCTTCGATGTGCACTCTCTGGAAGTCCACATTATGAGCTGCGGAATGCAGCATCTTTGCCAGCTCGTGGGCGAGAACATGCCGGATGCTGGGACAGGAATTGAGTCAACATTTTGACAGGACAGCGTGATGCACTTTTGCTGCACCTCCATCCAAACCCAACATGATGATTGATAAGGATGATGAGTGTAATTTTGAATCCAACAGATGCAAAGGGCCAAGAAAGGTTTCTGCAGCAATTCCCAACATTCTAAAAGTCGAAATCGCAAAAGTTGCGAATAACAGTGCAATATTTTAGTGCATGGTCAAAACAACATGTTTTTATTGTTTTGTTTTTCCCTGCGTGAATTGCAGTGACTCGTGGAAAGCACTTTTGGTCATGATGTTTGCTTGTTCGACTCAAGGAACATATTCTGGACGTCGCAAGCCCGGAAACTCGGTTGTCCCTGTGCGAACAATTGCAGCTTATGAGCAACGCATTTGCTGCGCGAGCGCAGCCGCAGAAGGAGACAGACCAGGAGCCTCGGAGCCCAAATGCGACCGTGCGGCAGCCTCTAAATCCGTTTCGCAAGAATCTGTAGAAGCCCCTTTTGCAGCCCTTCCTTTTCAATCACAGGAAGCCAACTGGTTGCGCGGATTTCACACTCGAAACCCTAGCTGGGTGAAGTTGTGACCCACAAAAAATGACAACACAAGCTGGTTGTAGTTGGGTCTGCTCGCACAACAACTTTGGTCTGTCAGTTACTTGATTCCAATTTCATGAACGCATAGCGGTGACTGCGTGCACGCGTTTACTTTCTGTCATCACGATGTCATCCAGGTTGGGCGTTGCATAGCCATGCTATGAGCCACCTATGCGAGAATGGAAAGGCATGTTCTTTCCGTTGCTCAGGAGGTGGCTACGGTGACCTTCAATTTGTTGGGCCTTGGCGAGCGGAGAGCGGCAGTGACCATTGAGCACGACCAAGTGTTGGAGTGTTGGGTTGCCAGCATGGTGATTACTGCGGCTTTGACTGAGTCGAACCTGCGAAGTTTACCGGAGACTCAGCCACTTGATGGACCTGATCACGGACATGTGCTAATCAGTTCGCACAGGTCGCGCTCTCAAAAGTCCCATCGCAGTGGGTCCCGCTCGAGGCATTCCTGTTCCAGTCGATCCAGCCGGTCCCGTGCTGAAATGCGTCAGTCCCGTGGTCGCTTTGGCTCGATTACCCAGCTGCATTTCACAAAGGTCACACTGTGACAAGAGCCTTTGAAGTTTTGAAGCGCAGTACAGACATTCTGACATTCCGGGCTGTTCAGCCCGAGTTTTCTTTTACAACATGCTCGTTCACTACAACTCCTCACTTCCTGAGTTCATGAACTTTAAACTTTTTGGGAGGACCGTTTTAGTGGTACAGAACAAGTTTGGACTTTTTTTGGGCCATCCACTCAGCCAGTGAGACTCATTCTTGGTCATTTGGACCCATTGTGTCACCCTGGTTTGATCCACACGTCGCAAGCTTCCAGAAGCTTTGTCACTCCATGCGAGAAAAACGGAAGAAACAAATGCTTTAGTATATCGCAGCGGCGCTGGGCCGCGGCATGTGAACAACGGAACATTGTTATGTTCGGTGAGCCGACCGTTTCCTGTTTCGAGGATGTTTGGGGCTTTACAGATTTATCAGACATCATATCAAGTATAGACGTTCCACCATGTTTTAGTTCATTTAGGCTCAATTCGCCCGATGGCTCATGGAACATGGCTGGCGCAAAAAAGAGGCTTCAATTGCACCCAGAAACCCCCGACGGATGGCACGGAGCCTAAGTTGTGGTCGCAACATAAGCTCGAAGGCACGGAACCCAGCAGCACAGGAACCGCGTGAATCTCAGAAGGGACCCCCGGGACCGCTGGAACTCTTCAAGTTGCCTTTGTGTTCTCAGTATCCCAAGGTTTGGGTTTCCTTATTCCAAGAAGTGCCCAGAAGGCCTTGTTCAAAGCGGAGCCATGAATGTAGAGGCTTGAAACCCGAGGTCGTGGAAAGGGGACCCCAACTTTTGCTTTTTGGATCTTTGGCCATTTTGAGTGGTCGAGACTGGGGTTTGAGGCCATGTTCTGAGAAGTGCTATCAAGGGAACTCTCTTTTTAAACATTGAAGTGGTTGGTCATAGGGGAATCCCACTTTGGTACTGTGGATGGACGAAATCCTGCACCACCTACGAAACCCTGGAGTGATGATCCCCTGCAAATACCAACAATAGTTTCTCATGGTCTCAAAGTGGTGCGAACAGATTTCGCAACCATCCACAGTATCACAGATTGTTGCTCATCAAGAGCTCAGTTGTTCAGTGGCACCATTTCTTTTTCCTTTTTTTTTGGTGGCTGCCCCACTAAAAATGGTCCAAGCCCCGAACAGGGTTCCCTCTTTTTTCCAGGGTCACTGAACACCTGAGAGAGGGTTTCATACCTGGAGGACGGCACTTGGACCAAGGAGGGCTTTCAGGAGCGGTCCCCTCGCTTGACGCCACCGCCTTCTCAACGTGCGGAGCAGAAGGGGCGCAGGTCAGACCGACCAAGAACGCCGTGGAAGCTTGAGAGGGTCACAGCAAGATAGACAATGCCAAGTCAAAGGCTTGCCTGTTAGACTTTTTTTTGTATTTTTGGGTTTCATCGATTTCAACCAGCGACAAGGAAACTTTTTGCAGGGGTCCACCCTAATTAAACCCGAAACCCTGGTCGAAGTATGCGTAAGTCCAAACAAACAATTCCCGAGATCGCCTGTTTTGCACTCAAGTTCTCATTTCCTCTATATTTGTATAAGTGCCCCTAGTGTAGTTTAGCCTTGTAAGTGGGTCATCCTTTGGCTCACTTGCCACTTTTCACGTTTAGCAAGATGAGTCCTATGGTTGTCAGCGACCCCCCCCTTGACCCCTCCCCCCAATTTTTCTAAAGTCCACAATCCTAGCCACAAATACTGTTGAGGGGCTCATATTGCTACCGGGTGCCTTTTTTGTTCCCCTCTCGGGGGGGCCCTGACAACCACGACAATGAGTGCAGAACTCCACAGGAAACACGACGACGGACGTGGTACTGTCATTGTCATGGTTCAACCGAAGGCCAAGTTTGTCAACAGGGAAATTCCAGCCGCTTCAACCCCATCTCTGTTGCCCAGTGGTGCGCTTTTTGACCCCTTTTTTCTTTGGTAAGGGTTCCCCTTGAAACTCAATCAACCCTTTTCCATGGAAATCCACTGGGCTGAGTTCGGTTTCAAAGCTGAAGGGACATGGTTGATCTCGCTTCTTGGGCTTGCTTCGGAAATGGCTGTGGCTCAAAAAAAAGTGGTGCCAAAATGGCAGCTTGGTTAGTGGAACCAAAGACTGAAACCTCTGTAACCCCAGCTTTTTGATTTTGAGCCACACACACAAATGCTTGGATTTCAACATCCGTTCAAGAACTGTGCCTTGGCAGGTTTCAACTGAGGAGCGCGAGCGGCTGGAGCAAATTGCGCCCCGCGCTCGGCATCGAGCTGAATGGAAAGGTGGCGAGGTGTCCATGCAAGACCTGTACTGGTTGTCTTAGCGGTTGCCCGCCATACGTTTTCCAATTGTACTTTGTTGTGTTTAAAGTTTAGAGCGACTTATAAAGCATTTCGCTCAAAGGCTAACTTAGTAGCGACGGATCAACGGACCACTGCTTTTGATTTATGGGTTGGTAGTTGGTCGGTCAAGGTGTTGGTTTATTGTGGCCGTTTGTCTTGAATTTTTGGCAGAGCCGTCTACGCGGTGGATTTGAATTGGTGTGGTTGGTTGATATGTGCGTCCCCTGTGTTGATTTGTCGGGTGTTGCACAACACACCATGCTACCTGTTCAGTGTTTGTGCATGTTCCACTTGAGGCAACCCCGGCTGAATGAACCATTTGTTTTTTGTTTTATTTAGTTTTATTGGGGGTTGTCCCTGGTTTAGCAGAGATTTATCACTATTGGAGGGGAACACCCCCCTCATTGTCTGCGGAATTTGAGCCGGAGGTCCGACGAAGCGGTTGAATTGCAGCCAGGTTCATCCGTGCGGGACAAATTTTGGCGTTGTTGTTCTTTTTGACTGGACATCTCCCGGATTCAGCTTTTGTGCTGTCTTTTAAGACGTTAAGGCTCCGGAGTTTGCGGGGTCTCCCAGAGGGCTCTCCATTGGTTGGGGTCGGGGCGGCGGGGGGCTCACATTGGATGGCGGTACAGGTGCCCCTTTGGGCACCACATCTTCCATTCGCAGAAGATGTTTGTTGTGTTTCCCCTGTTGGTTCAAAGGGAATCTATCACTGTGGCAAATCCTCCATATTTGCTTAAGAATATGTTTCATTTTTTCCTGGGGCCTTAACCAATGGAAGAAATATGTTCTCATTTTTTTCACATGGGCCGCATTCGCAAATGGAGGAAATCGTCAGCTCAGGATGACGGACAGCAAGTCCAACGCAGCTTGAGCCTGAGCCAGCACTGGCTTCAAAGCTTTCGATGGAGCTGAAGCCTTGTGTGTTTGGACCCCCCGCAAGGGTCGGCAACCTAAGACAGGTCTTGAAGATGCATAAGCCCAAGAGCCACATTTCTAGGGGTAACTTCCATTTCCCTGAACCCTCAAAATTCCCTCAAAAATGGGTTTGACCCCCAAAATTATGGGGTGATATCCCATTTTTGTGGTTAGTTTGAGGGTCCATGTCCATTCTTTCCAATCCGAATCCTTCTAGAAAACCTCCTTTGAAACCCTGCGAAATCGGCCGTTTGGAAAGAACGATGCTTGAAAAGAATGGATTTGAACTCAAACTCTAGAACATTGGTGTTGGTTCTGGTCTTTCGGTTTCTAAATGTGTGTCCTTTTTGAGGCGTTGGTGCCCTTTTGGGGTGGTTTACAATCAAGGAACGGATGAACGGGAAGCGCTTGTTTTGAGTTGCCCTTCCCCCCCATTGTTAGACAAGTCCGCATGCCAATGCCCTCATTGTGGTCATTTAGTCTTTATGCCAGAAGTTGCCTTTAAGGAGCTTGGTGCTGTCGCGCTTTGGTGGTGAAACCTTTGATGACTTGAACGGCGTTGGAAGAGAAGGATTCCATGCGCAGCCCTGTCCAGAGATTGCTGGAGATTCTTGGCTGGTACATCTAGCATTAAACACCATACCGACAAGCGTGCCATAGATTGTGCTTGTTTCACCGGCCACTGGGTAAGTATGACGGGTATGCGACCTTTCTTGTGCGCTAGTGGTGGACGACTCCGTGTGGTGAGCTTGGCTGCAGGACTGGAGCTTACCAAGCCTTGTTTGAATCAGCAGGTGCAGAGAAGTTGTTGATGTCTAAGGGTGGAAGTACATACCCCTCGTTCAGACCCCTTGGCTTCCGTGGTTTCCAACCCACTTTACAAGTGGTATATACCCCTTTTGGGGAGAGGGGTGTGCGCATCAGCAGGCCTTTTGGGTTCATTTGTCCAAGGAGTATGTAAAAGGGGTATGCGCAAGCACCCCTGGATGATGGGATGGCTTGGTGGAGTCACACCCGCCAATTAAGCGAACAGGCTAAATCTGGGGCCTCTGGACCGAATACTCCAGTTCAACTTCCTCACTTTGCAAGGGACCCAACCAGTCCCGGTCTATTTCACTGCGTTCTGAATTCCTTTTGGCAGGCGTCGTTCAACAATCACCTTTGTGGGCAATGTGTTCTTGAGTTTCTGTTTGGTCGTGTGATGTTTAAAGGGGACGTAGGGACACTGCTTGTTTGCCGACTGCAGCGGCTGTAGATGCCCAACCACGCGAGGTGTATGGAAGGGGGTACTTGCAAAGGGACCATCCCCGCTACATTCTCTCTGTCTGGGTGCAAGGGAAATCATGAGGTTGGTAAGGAATAGTCCCAACCATCGGCCGCACTTCGAAATATTCACTTGGATTTGTGTAAATCAGTTTCATGTCAGGCTTTGTTTGTGACTCAAGTGCGCTAATAGTTGAAAGAAACATCATCCCCTTGTTGATGAATGCGGGGGTGCAAGCCAGGTTTTGATTATGACGCATGTATGAAGGGAAGTTCTTCTTTTTCGCGCCTGAACCTTGAGGTGTACGTCTTCAACGAGCCTCCGCCGCCCAATGTGCAAGTGCCGGGGTGCCCACACAATGCGTGGACTGTTGGCCGTTTTTTTTTCGCTATTTGTTTTTTTGTGTTCTTTGTTTTTTTTGTTGTGTGTTGTCGTGTTTTTTTTTCTTGGGGGGGGAAATCCTTCAGCTATAGTTGGTTGGTGGACAGGAAGCCCGTGACGACCCGGCTGTTGGAATCGCTGAGTGGACCTGGATCCATGCGGACGGGTATGACTTTGTTTGAGGCTGAGGCTACCCATGGTTTTATGTGGCTTTAAAGGGAACCAAAACTAGGTCCCCCGGTAGTGCCCTTTCTCTCCACTGTTTTGGGGGAGATTCGGTTCCCCTACTAAAATCGACTACAAAAAAAGTTGGTACCCTTATTCTAACCTCTCTACTGGAGGACCTAGAAAAGGAAAGCCACATTTTTGGTGGAGTCCCCAAGCAAAGACGCAGCCTGGTGGGTTTTGGTCACAGGTGCCCTCCAAGGCCTTGGGAGTTTTTCTCGTGGGAGCTGACAGGTGCGAAGATAACGCCCAGACTCCGGCAAGTGGCGGCGAAAAGGGAAGCCCAACTAGGGGTACCTTCCATATTCTTTCCAGGTATACATTATTTCTGGAAAACCTCCGGAAACCCAGATAAATTTAATTATTTTTGAAAATAATGGTGGTTGAAACGATTGGGGAATCAACTTCTGGAAACAAGGTTGTTCAAAGTTCAGTGATGTTTGAAGGGCCGACCTTGGGCCCTTGACAACTCTTGAGTTCTAGCTGAAATCCCATTCTTCCAATAATCTTTTCAGAACATGGCCAGATCGGATCATTGTGGCGGTTTCTCAAAAGAAGATTTGCTCCTCCGAGTCTTAGCTCAACAATGCCTCATTTTGGTTTCCCTGGCCAAACCCGCAGGATGAGGGAAGTGGAGGGTGGTTTCTCCAATGAAACCCGGGGCCCGCATCCACAAAGGGGGGCCACAAATGGTTGCATGCCTTTCTCCGGCAGGCTGAGGGCGTTCCAAAGATCTCACTGGTTGAAACAGGCTTCTGTTTGGACAGTTTGAGTTGAATCCATTTTTTGCGCCCTTTAGTCGAAGCATCAACTTGTAAGTGTTGGTTGTCCATGTGTGTTGAGCTTCCCGCTTTGTTTTTAAGGCTGAGGCAGTCAGTAGGGATGGAGGTTGGGCCTTTTGCAAAGGCCAACCTTGAGTCGCGTCCTTTGGGCAGATGAGGCCTTTGGTTGGAAATTGGGTGCCTGATTTGTTAGGGGGTACCTGTTTAGGGTTGCTTGGAAGGGAACCGACATTTCGACATGTCAGGGGCTCCATGTTTTGGCGCGTGCCCAAATTGGGTACCCATTTGGCAACAACTTGCATCGTCGGCCACTGGGATGATGAGAATCAGAATCCGCTGTGCAAGTTAAGAGGCATAGCATGGAAGGACCTGGACCCTCAAACTACCCATAAAAATTGGATATCACCAACCATAACTTTGGGGGTCAAACCCATTTTTCAGTTGGAATTTTGAGGGTCCAGGGACTCCTCTTTCAGGCACGCATCATTCGACACTCCGTGCATTTCAAGCTCGCTGAAGGGGTCCGGTGCTTGGGACCTGGGACTTGCCGGGCCCGAAACCGTGAAACCGAGAGTTCGAGGAAGTATGTTCAGCTAAAGAGATTGGCGGTTTTGGGCTATCCAACTCAGCAGGTGATATTTGTCCCCACCTTCTCAAAAAATGGAATTGGGGGGTGACCCCTGGAATTCCACTTGTGGTTCCATTTTCCCTTTTATCTTTTATGGGGAAGACTAGATAAATGGGAATTTTGGACCCCCCCCACCCCCCCTCCCCTCAAGGTAGGGGGGGGATGTGTTGATATTTGTCCCCTCAGCAAAGCGCTGCTCGATTTGGTGAAAGATCGATTTGTCCCCAGCCCCAGACCCCAGACCCAAGACTGAGGGCCTTGGACCCCCAGGATCCTCATTTGAGGTCTTGGGCTAGGGAGTGCTACCTGGACCCTAAAACTACCCATAAAAACGGGATATCACCAACCATAATTTTGGGGGTCAAACCCATTTTTAAGGGAATTTTGAGGGTTCAGGTACCTTCCATTTCCATTCCGAACCCGATCCGGATCTGGATCTAACCTCTGGAAGAAAAAAAAAGGGATCCGGTTTCTGACCCCGGTTGAAAAGAATGGGACAGAGAATCCAAGGCTTGCGCCCCAAGACGCCGTCCGGGTGTCCAGAAAATCGGGGCGCGAGGACCTACATGACGCCCCCTGTGGCTACGGTGCAAGTTCCGGCCTGGGGCCCCACAGTCGGTGCTGGAGCTCAATGAGAGCCGAGTGGGCAGATCTACAACTGTCACCTCGTCGCCCTCATGTTTGGTTTTGGTTGTTTGGATGTTCGGTTTGGTGCCTTCAAAGACAACCAGGGTTCGATTCCCCAAACCAATCCAAACCATCAAACAAGTGGTCGCTGAACTTGTGTGTCGCCCTGGGATCTCCGTGTTTAGTTCTTGTCAGCTTTTATGGACCCAGGAGTGACAAACCTCAGGAGTTGCTCTACCTGGAGTCTCCTTCTAACCCTCAAAAACGGGGTTGTTTGCCCAACCATTGCCCCGGTTTTAAAGGTTCAATGGCGACTCCAGGTACTACCAACAGAAGGCTTTGGACCAGATCTTCGGATTGCGTCGGCGGTTTGTTCTGGATTATACACGTGTTTTTGTTTTTTCGTTTTGGGGTGCCCTCATTTCCTACTGTGGATGGACGAAATCCTGCCCACTTTGAAACCACGGGAAACCACTATTTGCTTGGTATTTACAAGGGAATCATCAATCCAGGGTTTCTTAGGTGGTGCAGGATTTCGTCCATCCACAGTATGACCACTCCGCAGGTAAGATGTGTACGTGGCCTCTATGATTTTATGGCTGGTGGTGATTCACGACCCATGTCTTGTTTCCCTTGGCAGTGTTTTCTGCACTAAAACTCCCTGTAACCACAGAGTCTCACGGTGAGCTAACAAAAGAGTGAATTCACTTTGGATTTGCAAGCAACTGGTTGATCAATCAGGGGGGAGCACTCCATTTCAGAGGGAATCCTGTTTTGTGTCTATTTGGTTAAATCTTTGGACTTTAACTTTTGGGAAATGATGGATTTTCCATTGGACCCACAAAAAAATAGACTTTGTTGTAGAGGGGTGAATGAGAACCGAGCCTGATTACTTTTGGGGAAGTTGCACCCCCACAATGAAATGCGCAAGGCTCGTGAATCTGGGGTTAACATATGTCAGACTGTCAAACGTTGGTTGGGCAACATCTGGGAGCTTGTGCCTTCCTGCTAGCTGGTACCTGATGGAGCCTGGCTAAAGGGGCCGTTCAGAGAAACATGGTCTTGCAGGATTGTTTGTTCCGGTTCCATGCACGAGGGTACTTGTACCAAAGAAGGGGTACAGAGCCTCAAAAACAGACGCCTGAACCCTCAAAATTCCCTTAAAAATGGGTTTGACCCCCAAAATTATGGGGTGATATCCCGTTTTTATGGGTAGTTTGAGGGTCCAGGCAGCTGCGTTCTTTCCGTGCAGCAGTCAGTTTCTTGGCCTCGAGTTCTGGGTCCAGATGCCTTCGCTCGAGGCAAACATACGCTGCCCGAAGCGGATCAATCGAGGCTTTTCGAACTCTGCCAGCAAGCCCCAAAGATGTGCACCTCAGGGGGGTCAAGAGCAACCAAGTTATATATATATATACTTTGGTGCATTTTGCCCAGGGATGTTAGGACTGAATAACTTTTTGGCAACGAATGGGTTTTCCGAATTAAACCACTAAAAGTTAAACTTTTAGCAGGGGAGCAGATTTCGCAACCGAGTACATATATATATATATATATATATATATTGGGGCTTGGACAATACCATGCCAAGTGCCGAGGTTGAATGTCCTTCAAAAGCACCCCTTCTGAAGGGGATGGATTGGATTCCTACTTCTGAGACCTAGGACCCTGTGAACTTCTTGCAACGTCGGGCCGACTGCGTCGTTCAGTGGATGCCACCACGAAAAGCGCGACTAAACAAAAATTGCGGTTGCTTCGAAGGGGGTCAACTAACGACAAGTCTTGGGCTTGAAAGCACCATTGTGTACCAAAGGATGGTCATCATCCAAATTGGGTCCTTGCCCTTCTTTTAGTGATTAGGGTAACTTTGGCGCATTTTGCTTGGAAGTTGGGACTTTAACGTTTTGGCAACTAATGGGGTTTCCATTAAACCACTAAAAGTTAAACTTTTAGGAGGGGAGCAGATTTCGCAACCGATGTTTGATGATTAGGATAAGTGGTTCCCATCGTTTGGGTTCCCCGAAACGAGCAAACAACCTCTTCAGCGTCCTGGCTGTCGGGATGGCCGCTGCTTTGCCGAAGCTGAGCCGCGAAGACCTGCAGCGCTGCTCTGCCGGCCATAGCCGTGGGTTTTGGGTGAGCCCAAAAAGGGTGCGATCGATTTCGCCCCATAGATGCTCATTGGAGTCACAATCAAAACCCGGGTAAGTGAAGGTTAGTAAGGGAAAAACCGAGCCATAATTAGTTGCGGCCGCCTTTCTAGTTCTTTACATGGTTCTGGGTTAATCATTCTTGTACCAGGTTTTGATTATGACTCATTTGTCCAAGGGAAGTCGAAACCTGGCGCGGGATCGACCCAGAAGCCAGAAAGAGCGGGAAAAAAGAGGACATCGATAAATCAAAAGTATCGGGTTTAGTTTTCCAGACCCACGATTCGGTAGCATGCAGAAAGCAGCCCTGGTTACTAGGGTTTCAACTGGATGGGTGGCACTATGGCCTTCAAGAGGGCCAGGCTGGGCCAACGAAGCCCCTGGGCTCAACATTGCCGTTTGGACTTGGCCAGAATTAGCTCCCCTTTTTGTTTTTTGCTTTTTTTGGGTCCCCTTTGTTTTCCACTAACCAGGCTTCTTCTTTTTTTTGCTGGGGTCCTAATTCCAGCCAAGTGGAAAGATTTATAAGTGAGTCATCCTTCCGGAAGGATGAATTTTTATGCCGAAGGGAACCTGTGGTGGGCCATTGTGGTCGGGCCCATGGAACCTTCAGTCTTCAAGCCCAAGTGCTGCCCAAAAAAAGCGCATCCCGTAAGGTACGGCGGATGTCATCTAAACATCAAGCAAGTGAACCAGCCACTTCTCGCCACCCTGCTTGCCCAGCCATCCCCATCCCCTTGGGCTTCTGGTTGTTTAGTTGGTTTAGCGGTTGGGTTTCCATTCAACCCGCTAAAGGTTACACTTCGACCGTCGGATCGGACAGCCCAGCCTGATCAATTGCAGTGAACTGCAGCCAAGTTTACTCCAAACAGCGGAAGCCTGGCAGCCCTCGGACTGGCTGAAGAGTTATCCCACGAAGAGTTGCCCAGCCGGTCAGGGATGTGGTTGCGTTCCGAAGCTTTCCGTCTTGCTGTTTCGCTTTCCGCCTTTCTGAAGGCATGGGTGGTCTTATCGCGAGGTTAGCTTTGTGTGTGTGTGTGTCCTTGAGTGCTACAGTGAAGGCCACGACATGTGAATGGGGAATGGTGGGCGATTCACTTGCTGTCAAGTCTTGCATAAATGGCAATGCAGGCATGTCTGCGCCATCGAAACTGTCACAGGCATAGTCATACTGACGGCTTCCTCGGCAACAGTTCAACAGGATTGGTTGTCCTTTGCTTCGTTCCTCGGGACAGAAAACCGGGTTGACCCCGACCCCACCTGCCCAGGGGCTGACGGACAAAAGTAGGCCACGGTTTGGGATCGCAGACAGGGTTCTGGGATCAAGGGGGTTATCCCCACTTGTGTGATACTAGGGAATCTCCCCCTTGATGGGGGGTTAGTCTTTAAGAAGCCCTTTCGGATTCCATTTCAACCACAGCCCTCATCCCAGACGCTGGCAGTATAGCTAGTATTTGTTCTTTCTTGGCTTTGGGCAATGTGTGCACATGAAGCAGGCTACATCTTGGTTGGCAGCCCCGGAAGCGCCAGATGCCGTTTATGCCTGAGACCAGGTTTGCTTCCATTGCGACGGACAGCTCGCGGAAAAAGATTTGCATGCTTGCAATATGTGGAACGGAAACTTTGCACAAAAGAGGGGCTTCATAAAAGTCTATTGGTTGATTGCCCATTCTTTTGAACCGTGGTTCTTTTGTTAGAACCACCCGTTTTCCCTTGGTGTCTGCTTTCCTGAAATGGGAAGCTTTCCCTAAAAAAAGCCGTGCTCGGTTGCTCACAAGGTGCTCTCTGTTTGTGTCTGTTTGGAAGCCTGTGGCTGAATGGAATTCCATCGTTAGAATCCCAGTTGCAGACCAAGAGGAAACCACCATTGTTGTTTGCCGGGGGTTATAGTAAAAGAGATCCCGCTCTACCCAGGGTGTGTGTGTGTGTGCTGAAAATGGTGGTTTGGATTGGGGGATTTGAATCATACCTTTTGAAAGAGGTGGAAGGCACCCCCCGGGCTCCAAACCCAACCTTTTGCACGCAGGGCGCTTCGTAAGTGGTAAGCCTGCTTACAACCCACTTATCACTAGTCTCCGTTCAGAGGGTAACCAGGCTTGCTGACAACTGGCTGTGGCTCAAAACACCGGTCTGACAAAAGAACCCTGGTATGTCACATGGACCAAAACTTCTGCGGAACCCGCCCCTGCGGTTTAATTTTGAGCCACACCCCACGTAGCCTGCCCCAGGGGTCAGGTGAGGTGATTTCGCGGGCCCTCCCGAGGCTACAGCGAGGTGATTTCGCGGGCCGGCGAGCTGCTGTCCTTGGCCTCCCTGGTGCCGGTGGTGCTGCCGCCCAGCCGAATGCTTCACAGCTCGTCGGTCGGGTTTTAAGTGGGCACACAAGTAGTGAGCTGTTCATGTTGTTTGTTTTTGGTGGGGACGCGTAATGAGGCACGTCAATCCCAAATGAGCTTTGAGTAGAATCTCTCTTGTTTTTGATATGGGGGTTGAGAAAGATTCCGTTCGGCGCCAAAATGACCATGGGAAGCTTGTTGTTTTTTTGGTTCCCATGTGGAGAATAATATCATCTTTTTTGGTGGTTTCCCTACTGGTCACCCCATGTAAATGACCTTTTGATCCACACCCATTTGGCTCGGTGGTTGCTGGTTTGATGAGTAGCATCTTATTTTGGCGGTTCCCAGCCGTCCCCGTAGGTTGTAACATTTGTAGTTTGTTTAGTGGGGGTTCCCTTTCAACGGGCTCTGAGGAGAGTCCAGTTATACATACATGTATATATATATATATGAATTTATATGTAGAGAGATATCCTGGGAGTTGTTCAT